TTTCTTTAGTGATATTAAAAGAAAGTTAATGACACTTACCTCATGTTGTTCATTGATTTCCATAGTAAAATGGACATTTTATCAGTGAAATAAAACTCCAGTAGTAGATTTTTTTTTCTTCCCTGAAATAGTGTATGAGACTTTTAGAGTTTCTAGAATACTTTCTATGGTGGTATATTATGTGCTTGTATTCTTTTTAATACATACTCTATTCATTTCATTTTGATAATAGTGTTCTGCTTGTAAGTGGGTAGGAGATATGATAGGAGTTGGTCATTGTTAAGTATATTGGATTTATGTTCCAAAAAGATTCATTTTATGATGGGACAATTTATAAGGAATTGTTTCTGTGAAAATGTTAGTATTTAGATATATATCCAGACCTTCAATCATCTAGCACTTTTTATCCATTAAGTGGGGGAAAGGAGAGAAAAAGTCTGGGGGGCCTGGACAGAGTGAGGAAGCAGCGACAGGGATCCAGGCGAGGGGAGGGACCCAGGTCCTGCCCCCCAAGTGGCGGGAAAGTGGGGGGAAAGGAGAGAAAGAGCCAGAGGGGCCAGGATAGAGGGAAAAAGCAGCATCAGGTATCCAAGAAAGGGGAAGGACCCAGGTCCCACCCTCCAAGTGGCGGGAAAGCAGGGGAAAGGAGATAAAGAGCCAGGGGGTCCAGGACAGAGGGAGTAAGCAGCAGCAGGGATCTAGATAAGGAGAGGGACCCAGATTCCCCCCTCAAGTGGCAAGAAAGTAGGGGAAAGGAGAGAAAGAGCCACGGGGACCAGGATGGAGCAAGGAAGTAGCAGTAAGTATCCAGGTAAGGGGAGGGATCCAGGCCCCGCCCCCCAAGTGGTGGGAAAGCAGCAGGGATCCATGTAAGGGGAGGGTGGAGAGGTTTTGAACAGCTAGGGGAGACAAACTTGTCTTTTGGTTTGTCCTACTGGGGTGGCGTGTTGCTGACAGGCTTGAGGTTGTGCCACCGGTGTTCTAAACCCAGCGGGATTGCACATAGTGCACAGGTTTCAGCGCAGCTTGCAGACTGAGACAGACTAGGAAGAAGGAAGAGGCCATCCACTTCTCAAAGAATTGGCCAGGGAAAACTTCATGAATAGCAGAGAAATAGTGTCTGATACATTACTGGGCAACTTTATGAATAATCCTGAGACATTGTCTGATACTTGCAGGAGAATGAGCCACATAGGTTAGAAGGCTTTCAAAATACGACCGGGAAAGAGCTGTATCATCAGAGTAGAACCAGCCTTACTGATATAGATAAGGTAAAGCTTTTGAGATCTCCATTTACTGATGTGGCTCGACTCAAATTGAGGAGAAACAGCAAACATCCATTAATAATTGGAACATGGAATGTATGAAGTATGAATCTAGGAAAACTGGAAGTTGTCAAAAGTGAAATGGAATGCATAAAAATTGATATCCTAGGCATTAGTGAGGAGCTCTGGTAGCATAGTGGCTAAAGCACTTGACTGCTAACCAGAAGGCTGGCGGTTCAAACCCAGCAGCCACTCCTCGGAAGGAAGGTTGGGCAATCCTACTTCTGTAGTGATACTGCCTTGGAAACCCAAGGAGGGGTCGCTATGAGTCGGGGCCGACTCGATGGCACATAACAACAACAACAACAACAGGCATTAGTGAGCTGAAATGGACTGGTTTTGGCCATTTGACAGTCACATTATCTACTATGCTGGGAATGAGAGTTTGAAGACGAATGGCATGGCATTCATCATCACAAAGGATGTTTCAAGATCTGTCCTGAAGTACAATGCTGTCAGTGATAGGATAATATCCATACGCCTACAAGGAAGACAAGTTAATATGACTATTATTCAAATTTATGCACCAGTTACAAAAGCCAAAGGTGAGGAAATTGACGATTTTTATCAGCTTCTGCAGTCTGAAATTGACCGAATGTGCAATCAGAATGTGTTAATTATCACTGGTGACTGGAATGTAAAAATTGGAAACGAAAAATCACCAGGAGTTAGAAAATTTGGCCTTGGTGACAGAAATAATGCTGGAGATCGCCTGATAGAATTTTGGAAGACCAACGACTTTCTCATTGCAAATACCTTTTTTCAACAACACAAACGGTGGCTATACACGTCAACTTCACCAGATGGAATACACAGGAATCAGATTGGTTACATCTGTGGCGAGAGGTGATGGAGAAGACTCAGTATCTTCAGCCAAACAAGGCCAGGAGCTGATTTTGGAACAGACCATCAACTAGCTCATATGCAGGTTCAACTTGAGGTTGAAGACAGTTAAAACAAGTCCACGAGAGCCAAAATATGTTCTTGAATATATCCCTCCTGAATTTAGAGATCATCTAAAGAATAGATTTGATACATTGAACACCAGTGACCGAAAACCAGAAGAATTGTGGGATGACATCAAGAGCATTATCCATGAAGAAAGCAAGAGGTCGTTAAAAAGACAAGAAAAGAAGAAAAGACCAAAATGTATGTCAGAAGAGACTCTGAAACATGCCTTTGAGTGGAGAGTAGCTAAAGCAAATGGAAGAAATGACAAGATAAAAGAGTTGAACAGAAGATTTCAAAGAGCAGCTCAAGCAGACAAAGCTAATTACTGTAATGAAATGTGTAAAGACTTGGAGTTAGAAAACCAAAAGGAAAGGACATGCTTGGCATTTCTCAAGCTGAAACAATTGAGGAAAAAATTTAAGCCTCGAGTTGCAATGTTGAAAGATTGTGTGGGCAAAATAGTGAGTGATGTAGGTAGCATCAACAGAAGATGGAAGGAATACACAGAGTCACTGTACCAAAAAGAACTGGATCTTCATCCATTTCAGGAGGTGCCATATGATCAAGAACCAATGGTAACGAAGGAAGAAGTCAAAGCTGCACTGAAGGAATTGGCAAAGAACAAGGCTCCAGGAATTGATGGAATATCCATTGAGACGTTTCAACAAATGGTTGCCCCACTTGAGACACTCGCTCAGTTAGCCAAGAGATTTGGAAGACAGCTATCTGGTCAGCCGACTGGAAGACAGCTATCTGGTCAGCTGACTGGAAGAGATCCATATTTGTACCCATTCCAAAGGTGATCCCACAGAATGTGGAAATTATTAAACACTATCATTAATATTGCATGCAAGTAAGATCTTATTGAAGGTTATAAAAATGGTTGCAGCAGTATAGTGACAGAGAATTTCCAGAGGTGGAAGCTGGATTCCAAAGAGGATGTGGAACAGAACAAGGGGACTCTGCATGGTTTAAAATCAAGAACAGAGTATGTCAAGGTTGTATCCTTTGCCCATACTTATTCAATCTATATGCCGAGCAAATAATCCCAGAAGCTGGACTATTGAAGAAGAATGTGGCATCAAGATTGGAGGAAGAATCATTAACAACCTGTGATACACTGATGACACAACTTTGCCTGCTGATGACACAACTTTGCCTGCTGAAAATGAGGATGACTTGAGGCACTTACTGATGAAGATTGAAGAATACAGTCTGCAGTATAGATCACATCTCAGTTGTATAGAAAACAAAAATCCTTACAACTGGACCTATGAGCAGCATCATAATAAATGGAGATAAGATTGAAGTTGTCAAAGACTGCACATTTCTACAATCTATGTTAGTGGAGGAAGCGGTCAGGACATTAGATGATGTATAGCACTGGGCAAGTCGGCTGCAAAGGACTTATTTCAAGTGCTGAGGGGTAAAGATGTCTCCTTGAGGACTAAGGTGCTCCTGACACAAGACATGATATTTTCATTCACCACTTATGCATTTGAGTACTGGACAGTGAATAAGGAAGACCAGTGAAAAATTGATACTTTTGAGTTGTGGTGCTGGCGAAGAATGCTGAAAGTACTGTGGACTGCTAAAAGAACTAACAGATCTGTCCTGGAGGAAGTGCAGCCGAAATGCTCCTTGGAAGCGACAATGGCCAGACTTTGTCTGACCTCCTTTGGTCATGTTATCAGAAGGGACTATTCCCTGGAGAAGGATGTCTTGCTTGGTAAGGTGGAGGGTTGACAAAAGAGAGGAAGGCCCTCAACGGGATGGATTGACACATTGTCTGTGACGATGGGCTCAAGTATAGCAAGGATCATGGAGCTGACGTGGGACTGAGCAGTGTTTTCCGTTCTGCTGTGAGTCCGACAGGCCTCAGCGGCATCTATCAACAGCAAGAACAACTAGCTTTGAACCTATGAAATAGCCCTGAAAAGGCATTATTTTTATTAGAATAACAAAGAATTAAAGACATTTTGTATTTAATAACTTGTTTGGTGCTTAAAGTAGTAATTACCATTACTAGGTAAGCTAAAATGTATTTGCTGTAGGCCTAAGAGGCCATTTTCTGTTTTTTTCTTCTTTTTTTAAAATATAGTAGTTTTTGTTGTTAGATTCTGTAGTGTCAGTTCAGACTCATAGTGACCCTTTGTACCACAGAATGAAACATTGCCTGCACTTGCACTATCTTCACAATTGTTACTGTTCTTGAGCCCATTATTTGAGCCACTGTTCCAATCTATCTCATTAATATAGTAGGGAAGAAATTAAATATCACTGATTTTCTCTGCATCATAAATCACTTACGTCCCTCTCTCTGATGCAGAAACTCTGGGAAAAAAAACTTTAGTGAAATATATCTTCTATAAATGAGTAGTATAAGTGTGATATGGCATAATAAAGCTTTCCTAGAAGTGTGTTTTCTTGTACTAACTTCCAGGGATTTCAGATACTGATATTTTTATAATACTTAGTCATGGGGTTTCCATGAGTCAAAGTCAACTTGATGACAACTAATACAACAACAGTACTCCAAAAGAAGGATTTTATATACTTGGAATCTTTTCTCAGACTTCTTAATTAGTTATGATGTGTAGGGTATCTTTATTCTTTTTTAAAACGGGAAATCTGACAATTCATAATGTAATTTTAATTACATATGTAATCTATTGAAAATTTGTTTCTTTTCTGTTCATATATATTAATTCATTGAATTTGTAGGTGATGGAGAGGTGATTGAACAAGTCATAAGCCTGCAAACCAATGATAATGGTGAACGAAGCCCAGACTCCAGTATTCTTGATGGAATGATAAGACAGTTGCAGCAGCAACAAGATCAGAGAATGGGAGCAGATCAGGATCCTATTCCAAGTGGATTTCCAAATGGGGAAGAGACACCCAGAAGAGGTAATTAAGAAATAATTTTCCTTACTAAGACCAGATCAAGATTGAAGAATAAGTGAAATTATTTTTAGATATATGCAGAGGAGCTCTGGTGGCACAGTGGGTAAAGTATTTGGCTGCTACCCAGGAGGTAGGTGGTTCAAACCCTCCAGCTGCAGTGTGGAAGGAAGATGAGACAATCTGTTTACGTAAAGATTTACAGCCTTAGCAACCCAATGGCGCTCGCTGTGATTCCGAATTGACTCTATGGCAGTGCATTTGGTTTTTGGTTTATATGCGATGGGAAGCTCGGAAGGAAGATTGGGCAATCTACTTCCGTAGTAATACTGCCTCGGAAACCTAAGGAGGGGTTGCTATGAGTCGCGGCTGACTCTACAGCACATAACAACAACAACATGCGATGGGAAGACTTTAAGCAATATATTACTTTTACAACTTATTTTATTATTTTTAGAAGTAGTAACATGGAGGTAGGTATATTAAGTATAAAGTTGGTGTACTAAGAAATGTGCATTTGATTGCCAAGTACTATGAAAGGATACTGAAACCTTATTGCATAAAAATTGGTCTATGTACAAAAATTAATTTATGAATATGTCTGATTTTATTTGTTCATTCTCAGACATTTTACTAGTTTTTAGGTTTTGTAAATCATCAACAAAAATTTGCTATTAACATTCTTTCTGTGCTTTGTAGCATACGTTTGGGTAAATTTCTCTTGAATATATCTATGAGAATATAATTGCTAGGTGTAAGCATTTATGCTTTCAACTTTGTAAGATCATGTCAAATTTATTTACAATTTATACACCCACCTGCAGTATATGATTGATAGTGTTGATTCCCTTCTCCAAAATTTAGCTGTGTTAGATTTCTTGATTTTTGGCATTTAAATGGGCATCAAACAATAATGCAATCTTGATTTGAATTTTTTTAAATCACTGTTGAGGTTGAATGTGTGATTTTTTTTTTTTTTTTTGGGCTTTGTATCTCTTTTTATCCTGTTGAAGTATTTTTACTGTGTGTGTCAAATTTTTAAAAATTACCTGAAATTCTTTGTAGAGCCTAATTCTATATTATTGTCAGTCTATATTGTGTATTATAGCAAGAGACACTAGATATAAATAAATGTTTCTGCACCTTGCTTTTTCCTTTTACAAATGTCCTAGAAATCATTGTCATCATTAGGTGCTGTTGAATTGCTTCTGCCTCATAGCAGTCTTGTGTACAACGGAACGAGACAAGGCCCAGCCCTGCATCATCCTTAAAATTATTGTTATGTTTGAGCCCATTGTTGTAGCCACTGTGTTAATAATGTCTCATTGAGGGTCTTCCCCTTTTTCGCTGACCCTCTACTTTACCAAGCATTATGTTTTTTCTCCAGGGACTGGTTCTTTCTGATTACCAAAGTACTAGAGACAAAATCTGGCCATCTTTGCTTCTATAGAGCATTTGGCTGTACTATTCCAAGACAGATTTGTTTGTTCTTCTGAGAGTCCATGATATATTACAATATTCTTTGCCAATACCACAGTTCAGATGTATCAGTTTTTCTGTGGTCTTCCTTATTCATTATCCAGCTTTCACATACATATGAGGCAATTGAAAATACCATGGTTCCAGTCAGGCACATCTTAGTCCTCAAAGCTACATCTTTGCTTTATAACACTTCAAAGAGTTCTTTTGCAGATTTGCCTAGTGCAATCCTTGTTTGATTTCTTGATTGCTGCTTCCATGTGTCTTGATTGTAGATCCAAGTACATTGAAATCCTTGAGAGCATCAATATTTTCTGCATTTATCATGATGTTGCTTATTGGTCCAGTGGTGAGGATTTTTATTTTATTTATGCTGAGGTTTAAATCCTTATTGAAGGTCTTTTCAGCACCTTTGCCCAGGGGATATTAATATGGTGTTTGATTTCTTGACTGTTGCTTCCATGGTTGTTGACTGTGAATCAGAGTAAAATGAAATCTTTGACAACTTCAGTCTTTTCTCCATTTATTGTGATGTTGCTTATTGGTCCAGTTGTGAGGATTTGCATTTTCTTTATATTGAGGTGTAATCCCTACAGCAGACTGTAGTCTTTACTTTTCTTCACTAAGTATTTCAAGTCATTGTCACTTTTAGCAAATAAGGTTGTATCATCTGCATATTGCAGGTTGTTAATGAGTTTTCTTCTACTCTTGGTGCTGCGTTACTCTTCATAGAGTACAGCTTCTTGGATTACTTGCTTAGCATACAAATTGAATAAGCATGGTGGAAGGATACAACCCTGATGCACATCCTTCCTGATTTTAAAGGATGCAGTATACCCTTGTTCCGTTTGGATGACAGCCTCCTGGTCTATGTATAGTTTCCTCCTGAGCACATTTCTTCTGGAATTCCCATTCTTCTCACTGTTAACCATAATTTGTTATGATCCACACCATTGAATGCCTCTGCATAGTCAGTGAAACATAGGTAAACATCTTTCTGGTATTCTTTGCTTTCAGCCAAGATCTGTTTGACATCAGCAATGGTATATCCCCTGTTTCATGACCTCTTTTGAAGCTGGCTCGAATTTGTCAGTTCCATGTCAATGTACGACTGCCACCACTTTTGAATTATTTCCAGCAAAATTTTACTTGCATGTGATATTTAATGATATTATTTGATAATTTCCTCATTTTGTTGGATCACCTTTCTTTGAAATGGGCACAAATAGGGAGCTCTTTTAGTAGATTGTGCAGGTGGCTGGCTTCCAACCTTCTTCTGTAGATGAGTAAGTGCTTGCAGCATTGAATCTGTTTTTTGAGGGATTTCAGTGGGTATTCTGTCAGTTCTGGGAGCCCTGTTTTTTATCTGTGCCTTCATTGCAGCCTGGACTTCTTCCTTCAGGACCATCTGTTCTTTTTTTTTTTTTTTTTAATTGTGATTTGGGTGAAGATTTACAGAGCAAATTCACTTTCTATACAGCAGTTC